TTTTATTTATTTTTACAATTTCACTAATGAAATTATAACTTATAATTGATAAATCCATACACCTAAGTCCCAATAATATTATTAATATTATATTATAAATAAAACTCCAAGTCAAAATAAGTACATAACCACAATATAACTTCTTCTCATTGTAATTTTATCAAACACATTATCTACATGTTATGTATTAAATATTACACAACATAAGATAAATATAAAAAATTATAAAATAATAAATTATAAGATTTATTATTTAAACTAAATGCATTTAGTAAAAAAAAATTATAAAAACCGCCTAGAACCCGCCCTCGGCCGCCTAGAACCCGCCTCAGCCGCCTAGTCCCGCCGAAATCGCATAGCCGTCGAGGCCGCCTAGCTCCGCCTAGGCCCGACTAGTCGCCGCCGAGCCCGCCCGGCCGATTTTTAGGGCCGATTTGGCCAAATCGTAGGCGTTGTACCGGCGCCTAGCGCCTAGGCGGCCGCCTAGGCCGACTTTTCGAACACTGCTATAAACCCATAAAAATCATACATGATAACAAAATAAAGGTGAGCACTTTGACCAATATTGGAGCTTCCAAAAAGGCTCCTTCTCGAATGTTAGTTCGATTCTTTTCGCTTGAGCATGTCCCATGAGAGGTGAACATCTTCATACTCACACGACCTCACATGTTGGTGGAGCTTAACGAGCCCTAAAATAATTAGTAATGTAGCACATATGTTAATAATTAGCTCATGCTAGGTTTAATTCAATCAATTCTTGTTTGAGATTAACATTCACAAGAGACCAATAAATTAAGTGTATTTTTTTCTAGCTATTTTTGTATGCTAGAGAGATTGTTGATACACACAATAAGAGACATGGTTCTAAAAATTTGGAAGATGCTACGGTTCCGTTACGGAACTGTTCTGTCGGGTTTGTAACCGTAAGATCATCATGTAATCGTCAGAGATAGTTGATCTAATGGTTAAAACGCCGACGGAATAGTTTCGTAACGAGACCTTAGCATTTCTCATAAAAATTTTAATCGGAAATCAATCAACCAAACGGAACCTCAAATCATATGAATTTTACCTTCTTCAAACTTTTAGAATATAAAAGCAACTCATAAGGCGATAAATTAAAAATAAAAGTGTTAGTTATGTTAAATGGTTTCTTGTACAATAAGTTAGGTTTAGGTCTTCTATGTATCTATATATATGTGTATATGTCTTTGTGAATAATATAGAACATATTTTTCCCACTTTCTTACATGGTATCAGACTAGGTTAGGGTCCAATATAAGTTTCGTGTTTTCTCGTTCATCTCCGGCCACCGTTCATTCTCACCTCCCAGACCATCACCTCCGGCGTCTCACGGCGAGCATTCGCCGGAAATTTCAGGCCGTAACTCCGCGCGTGGGCCCCACACTCACCGGAACAGTGCGACAGCGCCGGCAGCTTCCGAAGGCGCGTGAGGACCACCCCCAGCTCCGATCACCGTTGTTAGGTATGTTAAATGGTTTCTTGTACAATAAGTTAGGTTTAAGCCTTCTATGTATCTATATATATGTGTATATGTCTTTGTGAATAATATAGAACATATTTTTCCCACTTTCTTACAAAAAGAAAAACATTTTGATAGAAAATTACAAAAGATCAAAATAAAACTAACCGTTTTTGCGCGAAATGATTCTTTTAGAGACCTTGGACAAAACCTTATGCAAAGGAGTCATCATTTTTTCCCACCAATTTCTTGACATATTGTGTATTTAAAAACCAATCACGATGAATGATCAAGGTTTACTAAGCAAAAAGTAGATAATGGAATCCAAGAAAAAAATAAATAAATAAAAAAACTTTTAGTGAAATTATAAAAATTAAAAATGCACAACAAATTTGTACGACATTGATCTAAATAAAATCAAACACAACACCCGATATATTCATATGTGTGTGTTTGGGAGAATGCTATGTGTTTGACTCAAAGGAGAGACCATAAGTTTTTTTCTTGGATGTGAAGACGAATTAAAGGTGGTTGAGTCGCTATTTTTTCTCACTCTCTATTTCTATCCGCCATTGGATGACAAAGAGAAGTTTATGCAACAACAATATGATTAAATTTCGGTGATAAAAAAGTGAAGCGATGTTTGAACAATTAAGTGACATGATATCTAAAAAAAATGATATGGTTTATCAATCTATTTCTTTTGATCACGAATGCACATATTAATATGATCACTGTTTGTAGATTAACATAGCATGCATGTTGGTTTGCATGCTATACATGATGTGCACATATTAATACGTTTCCCTAAGCTTCACAATGTCAGAGTCACTTAGTGTGCTCACAAATTGGCTAATATCCAATTCGCCCGGGTCAGACAGTTCTTCAGCTAACGGTCTCCTCCAAACTCCCTCCTACATCGAGCCTGCTATATCTTCTCCCATTTGCGTTTGCATATCCTGAACGTCACTTATATCAGCGATCCGCTCACTTATCTATCCTGAGTAATCGCCAGCCAAAACTGCATTCACTAAATCTCTGTCGTAATCACTACTACCCAACACATGCCAATTTATGAAAAAGCAGAAGGAAAAAGGTTTCGAGAGTTACCCTCTCAAGGAAATTGCAAAAGTACAGTCTCACCAAATCATAAAATTCAAGATTATATGGACAAAACTCGAGAAATTTGTATTCAAATTCAAAGTGAGAAGATCTCAAATCCCGAAGAAGCCTCCTATTTATAGGGATGACCTCACTTTTCAATCATCATATCTCGGCGTATTGAGGCGCAAAAGTCGAAAGGTCACGGTCATGTCCCAAGGGACACATGACCTCTCCAAGTAGACGCTCTCTCTCCTTGTTAAATGTTTATGCTAAAAGGACGTCTTGTCACAACACGTCTCCTGCCAGTGTAACTGACGCCATCCTTTCAATAAAAATGACGATCTCATGACGAGATCGACACATGGATTCAAAACTTGCAAACAACTTTCTAGGTGTATCAGCCAATCCCTCTACAACTAGAAACCTGGGGGGCCCTTTGTTATTTATAAAAGTCTCCTTCGCTATGGTCCAGCCCATTAAGCCGAGAAATATAGAGACCTGAACTGTTTAAAAATGGACCAAGCTTATGTTAAAAGAACAACCCAAGAAACTCTGATGTCAAGACCATGATGATCTACATCCGTATCTCCATATTCTTTCTCCTAGAAGATTGTCGATCTGTCGTTGTATGAATAAAATGGCAAAACAAACTGTTAAAGCTACCGCATAGTTGGTCTCATCATCAAAAGAAGAGTTTTTGCATGGGGACGCATGTCACTCCCCTACGCTCTTAGCTGGCCCTTTAGGCATAATTACTTTCTACTTTTTACGTTTATAAATCCAGTCTGAGAGGCTCAAAAGAAATACAATAATCAACTCTGGAGAAAAATACATCCATATACGCACTATTATTCTTCTTGTCGATCTGTCCATACATATCGACAAACTCTTTGTGCCGTTTAACTTTCGGTTTCGTGCTTTCAATTTCACTCGTTAGGCGTGAACTTGTTTAATCCCTCTTATTATTTAATACTAATTAAAAATTAGTATAATTATATATCAATTAAAAAAGTAAAATCTCAAATTAAATACAATAATAATAGATTAATTTTTTTAAAGAGTACTCAAAATTAAAAAAAAAAAAGTATTTCTTACATTATTTTTTAGAATTTTGGTATAACGTTTTTAATTAGGACCATTTTAATCACAAACTTTGTACTAATTTCATAATATAAATATACAAAGATAAGACTAATCGACCCACCTTACGAATAGACATCGTATTACAATAATTTGTGCACACATGTATATAGCTAGATTTACTTGGAAGTGTGAAAATATGAATTTCGTAAGCTGCTCCAATTTATTATGTAACAACTAACAAATACATTACATGAGTTTTCTAATAATAATAATAAAAAAAATTACATTTATTAACAAATTCGTGAAATATGAGATGGCCTTTTAATTTCCAAAACAGCCATTCCTAAAAAGTCACACATTCAAACATGATTTTTAAGCTGTCACCATTATACAAATATATATGTCCACCTATCTTAGTTCCTCAACTTAGGAATCAAAAGCAATGGTTTAGCCTTCTTAAGAGTTGTCAAGTACTTCTCGCCCATATCAATGGTAGTCGCATCCCCACCGTTGGGAAGACTCCATTCAAAATAATGCAACAAAGTTCCCGCAAGCATTTGAATATTTTTGAAAGCCACATTCGAACCGGGGCACATCCTTAGACCGGTCCCGAACGGCAAATACTCGAAATGTGTGCCCATATAACCAACTTTCGAGTCCAAAAACCTTTCGGGATTGAAGTTAGTTGCATCTTCCCAATAGTTCGGGTCGCGAGCAATTGCCCAAGCATTGACTAGCACCATGCTATCTTTAGGGATAATGTACTCATTAACCTTGCACGTCTCTAGGGCACGATGAGGCACCAACATTGGGGCCGGAACATGGAGCCTCAATGTTTCTTTTATACACGCTTGGAAATAATGGCATTCGGATAGAAGGACCTCGTTCAGTTCGCCCCCATTGACAATATTTTCTAGTTCGTGACGAACTTTGGACAACATATCTTGATTTCTCATTAATTCTACAATCAACCACACCGTCGTTATGGTGGTGGAGTCCGTGGCAGCGATCAGTAATTCCTGCAATTAATGATTGTGGCTTGTGAAAATGATGAGTTTGATCTCCTAACTCTTGTATATATATGGATAATAGGTTGGCTTGCATGTGAAAGATATATTTTGCTCAATTGAAAGTTCATGTTGATAATACAAAATATTCGATGAAATAAGATTGTGTATCAGAAAATCTAAAGAATCGTGTTGGAATAAATTAAAATCGGCTTACCATCAATGCGTTACCAATTTGATCTTCTGAAAATGTACTATCGCTCAAGGCAATATCCAAGAAATCCTCGGTCACTTGAACCACATTCTCACCCCGCATCGATTTTCTTTCGTCAATGATACCACCCCATGTTCGTTTAATTTCACGGTACATATCCATCGCCTTTCTCTTACTCCAAAAGTCAACTGATTTCAAAATCGGCAAGAAATCGACCACACCAAGTGTCATCGTCTTCTCGATCACCTCATTCACCCAACGCAACATCACCTTGTAATCATCCTTCCCCTGTCCTTCGATGTTGAATAGGTCTTTCGACGTCAGAGAAGCTGAGATAATATTAGACAACGTCACGAAAATCAGGTCCTCTAGGTCGGCCACTTGTCCTTCCCTAGATTTTAAATGCTTGACCAAGTCATTGACCTTCGCCTTCCGTATCCAGACACTCATCTCCATTGCCTTGGATGAAAACACGCAATTCTGTCCGATCGAACGCAGGAGCTTCCACGACTTGCTACATTCGGGAGCCAACGCGATGGACGAATGCATGGTCCCGGGAAGGTTAATGTACACCGTCGGCAAGTGCCTTCCGGATAACATACGGTCGTGCGTTCGACAAAATTCTCTTGCAGTCTCGGGTGACGATGCAACCACCAAGAGTTGGTCACCTAGACGGAAGGACATTAGAGGACCGTACATTTGCGAAAGCTTTCGGAGTGCTCTATGAGGTTTGTATATTAGTTCGGAAAGGAAGGTTAAGACGTAAAACGGGTTCGGGCCGGGTGGTAGACGATGGGCCTTGAATAAGAAATGCTTGAGGAAGAGAAAGATGATGGGCACAAGGATAAGCAAGGCCAACTCCATGGTTATGTTTGATATATGAGAGTTGCTTGAGAGGAGATTAAGGATAGAAAACTTCAAAGGAAGGACTATGGTTACAAAACATCAAAGGCAGCTCCTTATTTATATATAGTGTGATACATACTATACATTAGGTGCATGCAAATTATAATAAATGTGATAATTCACCATTGACCGATGTATAAAATATAACAAGTTGCCATATTGGTATGATGACTTTTTTGAAAAAGTCCCAGCCAAAATAATATTGAGTCAACATGTTGTTGTTGGCCTGAAAGTTAGGACTGCATTACCTTTGACTAATTGATATACAAAGTCAATTTAACAGCACAAGTATAGCTAGTTAGCATCTTTAACTTGCTCATGTATTCACGAGATGTATCATTTTAATGTCCATTTAAGACTTAGTAAAATTTAACACTCTTAATTAACAAGCGAGCACTCAACAGGCGTGTGGCTGTCGTCACACACACACCAAAAAGAAGAAGAAAAAAAAAAAAAAAAAATCTCCTCAAATAAATTTAGAGTAATGCTATTTAGCCTACTTAGATAACAATTTGGATTACAACACAAGTGTAAATACAATATCGAACAGGACAATGCTACACGTACAATTATAGTTTACAACATTATTTGACAACATAGTTAAAAGTACCATGAACTTAAATCTTAACCATACATTTATTTGCATCTCAACCACCCACATTGTGCCACGTCATGTTGTCATTGAATGTTGTATAAAAAAGTTGTACAAGTAGCTTTTTCCTATCAAAAAATTAAAAAATAATGCATTACACTTGAGTTGTAATCAAAGTTGTCATTCAAGTGGACTCTCTAACATTACTCATAAATTTATAAGGAAAATTTGCAGACGATGCATTTTATTCTTCCCATATAAATTGACCAACCCCCCTATATATTATATAAGTCCCCGAGGTTAAGTGAAAGGCTCGCACGTTTGGGATCTTATTTGATAAAATTTTATGTTTCGTTATTTGGTTTCGATAAATTTTAATTTACTAGTACAACACCCGTGTATTACACACAGGGGCGGACGCAGACTTTAATGGCAACGGGGGCACAAATTACGGTCGACAGTAAACGCCATAGGTCAACGCGGTCAAATCATTATTTAACCAATTATAAAATAAAAATATTAAATCTTGACAGACACTATGTTTCTTAGTTAATAGATAGGCTTGGATCTTACATTCTCATTTTAAGAATACTGACACATTTGATTCAATCTCTATATAGTATATACATTTTTGTACAATAATTGTTTTTATATGTATTTTAGGAAGAAAAAGGAAATAAAAAAGAAGTTGAGTATAACATACGTATAAATTCCACAAGTTAAAAAAAATAACATACCATTAAAAGTTAAATAATTCTGAACATTTCTTTTTATTTTTTTATGTTGAAATAACTTTTCTTAATAATTAATATGTATTTTCTATGTTAATTAATACATTTATACATAATATATATACATACATATTACAAAAAAAAATAACAGGGGCCCGTGCCCCTACGGGCCCCTGTGTAAATCCGCCAATGATTACACAGGTGCTTGTTAAAAAATTATTCTTAAATTTTAAAATTAATGAGAAAACTAAATTAAATTTAGTTACAAAAAAAAAAAATATATTACTATATATTTTAGAATGATATGTGTTACTTATGACTTACATGTGTTATATTATATTAGTTGTTATAACTTATATCATATAACTACTTGAAATATAAATATATTAGTTGATAAATAATTTTATTTTTCTAATTAATATTAAAAATAATTTTATTATTGTTATAAAGATAAATATAAATTATTTTTTTATACATACAATATGGATGTTAAATCGAAGCTCATCAAAAGAAGATTAATTTGATATATTACATATGTAAAACTGATAAAAAATACAAAGTTATTAACTTTTAAAATATATATACAATTCAATAGTTATAATAAGGAATGATATTAAAATACAATTAATACATGTAACACGACCATAAATAATCAACGTATTTATGGTAATCCGAACCTAATTATTTTTGGTTTGGAATTAAATTAAAATTTATCCAAGCCTAATAAAGAAGCATGTAATTTTGCCACATAGGATTCCGAAGCACCAGAAGCAGCCACGTAGGCTCAGCGCGTTCTGTATTAATATATAGGGGAGAGGGGGATATAG